CTATTTCGGCTGGCCAAAGCGAGAGAGAGAGGAAGGCTCGTGACCTGGATCAAGTGAGGTGCATCAAAGACGAGGAAGGTACAGCATTGACGGAAGACTCCCAGATTAAGCATAGATGGCAGACGTACTTTCATAAACTTCTGAATGAAGAGGGGAGCGGTAGCATCGTGCTAGGGGAGTTGGGACACTCCGAGAGTCACCGTGACTTTGGGTACTGTAGGCATATCAAGGTTGAGGAGGTAGTGGGAGTTGTGGGTAAGATGAGTCGGGGCAAAGCGACAGGACCAGACGAGATTCCAGTAGAATTTTGGAGGTATGTGGGTAGAGCGGGCTTAGAATGGCTGACTGGGCTGTTTAATGTTATTTTCAAGACGAAGAGGATGCCGGATGAGTGGAGATGTAGTTTGATGATTCCGTTGTTTAAGAACAAAGGTGATATCCAGAATTGTAACAATTATAGGAGCATCAAGTTGTTAAGTCATACCATGAAAGTTTGGGATAGGGTGGTGGAAGGGAGGGTGAGGAGGGCGGTCTCTATTTCTGAAAATCAGTTCGGGTTCATGCCGGGACGTTCTACTACGGAAGCTATCCACCTTATAAGGAGGTTGGTGGAACAACACAGGGAGAGGAAGAGGGATTTGCACATGGTGTTTATTGACCTAGAAAAGGCGTATGACAGGGTCCCTAGGGACGTTCTTTGGCGATGCCTGGAAGTGAAAGGGGTGCCGGTAGCATACATTGAATCGATAAAGGATATGTATGATGGAGCTAAGACTCGGATCAGGACTGCGGGAGGTAACTCCGAGCTTTTTCCGGTGATTATGGGGTTACACCAAGGATCTGCGCTTAGCACTTTCTTATTTGCTCTGACGATGGATGCCTTGACACACCATATTCAAGGGGAGGTGACATGGTGTATGTTGTTCGCTGATGATATAGTTCTGATCGATGAGTCGCGTAGCTGTTTTAGTGAGAGACTGGAGGTGTGGAGGCAGGCTCTGGAGTCCAAAGGTTTCAAGTTGAGTAGGACCAAGACGGAATATCTGGAGTGTAGTTCAGCGGCGTGTCGGGGGAAGCAGATGGGGTGGTGAGGCTCGACTCACAAGTCATCCCCAAGAGAGAAAGTTTCAAGTACCTAGGGTCTATTATCCAGGGAGATGGGGAGATTGACGAGGATGTCACGCACCGCATTGGGGTGGGGTGGATGAAATGGCGGTTAGCATCTGGAGTCCTGTGTGACAAGAGGGTACCACCGAAACTCAAAGGTAAGTTCTACAGAGCGGTGGTTAGGCCGGCTATGTTATATAGGGCTGAGTGTTGGCCAGTTAAGAATTCACATATCCAGAAGATGAAAGTAGCCGAGATGAGGATGTTGAGATGGATGTGCAGGCATACTAAATTGAATAAGATAAGGAATGAAGATATTAGGGAGAAGGTGGGCGTTGCTCCGTGGACGACAAGATGCGGGAAGCGAGGCTTAGGTGGTTTGGACACGTGCGGAGGAGAACCATAGATTCCCCGGTTAGGAGGTGCAAGCGGTTGGCTTTGGCAGGTACGAGAAGAGGTAGAGGGCGGCCTAAGAAGAATTGGGGCGAGGTGATCAGGCAAGACATGGCGCGACTCCAGATTTCCGAGGACATGCCTCTTAATAGGAAAGCGTGGAGGTCAAGCATTAGGGTTGTAGGCTAGGGGGTAGTTCATAGTTTTTCCCTCTTTGTACCGGGTAGTCTGATAGAGTTTTGCCTATGTCTGGTAGCGGTCTATGTTGTGTTCACACTATTTTGTTATTTTGCATATGATTATATTATTGCACTCCCTTTCACTTATTTGGTGTATTTTAAGTTATTATTATTACTTCTCTTGCTTCTTTTGTTGTTACAGATCTCTTCTTTCGTTTCTTTTCTGAAATTATTATCTCTTCCGTTGAGCCGGGGGTCTCCCGGAAACAGCCTCTCTACCCTTCCGGGGTAGGGGTAAGGTCTGCGTACATCCTACCCTCCCCAAACCCCACTAGTGGGATTTTACTGGGTATATTGTTGTTGTATGTATATACGAACATAAATGATGGCCCTCAACTTCCAACCCTATCTAAACAGTGGTGGCTGAAACATTAAGAACAAGCCGAAGTGAACAAGCCAACTGTCAAACCAAAGGGAGAAGGGAGAATGGTTTTATTTAAGAATTATTTGCCTTTGACTCATTAAGAATTTTTTATTTGCCTCAACCCCTCATTGTATTTCAAATCCATAATTCAATTCACACTCATATTTAATTAGCAACGAGTCTCGATCAATTGAAGAATTTAAATCACTACTTTCTATCTACATTTGTGAACTCTTAGCTTCATTTTTTATTCTCAGTGACTTAGCAAGTAGTTTACTAGCCTTGCAGAAGTTTAGTCTTTACCTTGTAATTCCAGAAGGACGTGAAGACAAAATACATCTCAATAAATATGCTTCCAAATGGCAGCAATCCTCCCATCAAGGAAACTACAGATGGTGTCAGGTACCACTTCTTCTCAGGAATAGGGCGAGGAATGGTCTTGACACGGCATGGATTGTTTGGAGCACCACTCCAGTTTCTTCCATAAACAGTACCAAGAAGAGCCAGGGGAAAGGAGATGAATGCCCAGATGACAAAGACAACTACCATCGTACCAAAGGGAATGGCTGCTAGAGACCCATAAAATATGGCAATCGTGTTTAGAACAAAGCCAATCCCAAAGCACAAAAATGGGAATAGCGATGCTGTGAGAATCATTGATTTGATCCAGCTTTTCCCTGCAACCATGAATCAAACACCGTGATACTTTTATAGAGAGAGAGAGCGAGAGAGCATGTTTTTAAGCAAATATATACTAAATATCCCAAATGAAACACCTTATAAAAACATATCAAAAGATATGTATACTGAGTAAACCAAACAATACAAGGAAATAAAAAGCTGCACAACCAAAAAAAATAAACATGAAGGCAAAATATTCCATTCATCTGAACTTTCTTAGTCAGGTGAACCAAAATGACAAGCCATAGAGAGGAGGTCCAATAAAAGTAGTGTCGTGTATGCACAGATATAGATAAGCAAGAGTACATACCACCATTTCGCGAGTACATTGCACCACTAACGTAGCCCGAAATGAAAGATGTCAAAGCATAGCATACTATGAAAGTCGTGACAATAGCTCCTCTCCTGTAAAAAGAATATACACATGCCATGTAAGCATTTTCCTCCCCAAAAAAGCTACTCCCTCTGTTCCAGTTTATGTGAACCTATTTCCTTTTTGGTCCGTTCCAAAAAGAATGAACCCTTTCTAAATTTGGTAACAATTTAGCTTAAACTTACAACTCTACCCTTAATGAGAAGCTTTTATAACCACACAAATACTCTGGGCCCCATTTGGACTTGTTTAGGACCACAAATTCCTAAAGTCTTCATTTTTTTCTTAAACTCCGTGCCCAGTCAAACAGGTTCACGTAAATTGGAACGGAGGGAGTATTTAGCTGATAATTCTGTCAACTTAGCTTGTAAATAGGTTAGTTAAAATGATTGTTGCTAGACAGGAATAGCCAACAGCCTGCTAGTAAATGTACAATTTAATGCAAAATTACTTGAAAAGTAGAAAAATAGCAGATTGCCATCATCAAATACCCCTATAACTCGCTTCTAGGCTTCATTAGGCAACAACTAGTTTTCAAGGAATGATACCAAGAGTTCCAACATACCCAACATATAATGTCCCCACAATTGCCAACAGAACGACAAGGAGAACAAGCAGAGCCAGTTGTGCCCCAGTACCAACAAGAGCTGACATTAATGCTAGACAACGAGGAGGCCGAAACACATCCCCATGAACAAGTTTCCAACCAGACTCTTCACTAACATCTCTTTCCTGAGACAAAAGCATTAACATTTAAGACAGTAAGCCTTAAATTTTAAGGCTTATTCAAACACAAGGTTGTTCACGCATGAGTTGTTACCAGGGTTTCGAGGTCATCATCTTCACGAGCATACTTGGCATAATCATTCCGCAGTGTGCGCATCAAAATCATAGACACCAGACCAGTAAGAAAGATGACCATCATGAAGGAATTAAATATGGAGAACCAATGGATCTGCGGAGTGAATATAATATAGAAAATACATGAAACTCAAGCAAAGTAATAAATTTTGCTATGCTACATTAAACGCAAGGAGAGGATTTATACAACTTCAAATTGACTTTTTTTTGTAAATACAACTTTGGATTGATCTAGCTCCAATGGTAAAATAGACAACCGTATATACTCTGTCCAAGAATAGACCGCAAAAAAACCGACATACAGAAAACTAATTCACCGTCACTAGCTCCATCTTTGGAAGGCATACCAATAAGTTTGCTTAATGAAATAATGCCCCAAACTAACGCTCACCTGATGCTCAAAAAATGGGTAATCCAAGTACACATCAAAACGACGAGCAAAACTGATATTAGTTGGTTCCCATTTGACAGAATATGTCATGTCAAAGGTTCTCCCAGCTTCCAAAGGCTTTGGGCTCTCCTGAGAGAGGTTAACATGAATGATCTGCAAGAAAGAAAACCAGGGCATATCAGCATGCAAACAGGTTACCATAGGTGAAATTAACAAGCCACTAACCTGGTCCTTGTTATATTTAATATTAATATTCTTATGCGTGTAAAGCACATGCTTGTTATCACTGTTTCTGTCGGTATGTAGCTCACCAACAAAACCTACGACACCAAATTAAAGTACAAATTAGAACCACTTAACCCATATGAAGAAAAAAAGAAAATTTGAAAGAAAAGCTTCTAAGGAAGAAAGCTCAGAGAGCACATACCCCATAAAGGCAGGTCATCTGGAAAAAAAATATTCAGCAGGCCGGAAACAAAAGGTAAAAGTCAGGACAAGCAGAATCGACATAAAGTAAACAGAAATGCTAAAATAAATAATGCTTTTATAAGGCAGGTCAGCTGAATAATAAATTTGCTTGGAAACAAAAAGAAAAAAGAAGGCCAAGAAAAGAGAAATCAACATAAAGTCACTTATCAAAAAATAAAATCGACCTAAAGTCAACAGGAATTTTGCAATTAAAATAAAATAGAAGGAACAAGGAAATTTTTTATAATATGTGAAAAGAGGTTGCAAGAGAAGTCCATCACTTCAAAAGTTAACAACAAACACCTGAAGCCTCACCAATGTCACTTCATAAGCAAAAGGTACATATCTCCTCAGTTGGGAAAAAATGGTTCCATACAAAATTAAAAATATTCACTATCTCAGTCTCTAGAATATAAGAAAACAAACATGAACAAACAAATTGAAATAACAGCGATTAATTGAAACATGTGGTAAAAACCATTTAAAAATATTTTCAAGATGCAGTTTTTAATTTCTAATTCAGATTTAATGAACACTTTTATTATATGGTTTCAAAGTTCCTGCTTTAATCACTAAAATATTCATCGATAACTTTACCTAACAGTTCATATATTATTTTTCCATCCATATTTACTACATAGTGCAGTCTTTTCCAACAGAGAAGCCATGTGCTCTGTGGCACATGCCTTCGTACCTTGGTGCCTTGATAATGTGTCACCTAAGCAAAGGGTAATTGCTTAACCTTTCAAAGCACCAAGCTTCAGGCTTAAGTGCGTCTCGAGGACACCTTTAACATCATGCAGTTCAGCATACCTAAATTACTTCATGCAGTGTCCCATTCTAGAGAACTATGTTGTACAAACATGGAATTCATGCATTACATCTTCAGTAATCCCTTGGTCATCAAATTGTGCAACCTTGGGACGGAATGTAAAGCTCTCTGGAAAATGAGCAATGCTCGTATTCTGTAATGCATTTTTGGTCCAATGCAAGAGTGTCTCGAGTAAACAGTATGGCCCAGTGTCTATGTTGTATAGCGCAGTATACTAAGATTTTATGCTTTAGCCTGTACCAATTCCAAGCAACACCTTTAACAAACCTCTTGGACAAACTGAATTTCTATTTGCTTGAAGCCGACAAAAAAATCGTGATTGTTATCTTGTTTAAAGTCCCGGAAAATATTTTTCAAATCAAGCTCGAACTTTTACTAAAGAATAGACTAACAGCTTACATTAAATTTTTGGTGTCCATTAAAAAGCTTTAGGAGTCAACTATCTTTCTAATTCCGTACATAATTTTAGCGGGAGAATGTTCCCTCAATATGCTATCCGTAAAACTATCCACGATCTTTCTTTATTCATTAATTTGTAATTTATTTCTTTTTGATGAATAACCATCCATGATCTTTATTATTATTCAGGAATCATAAAACCAGAAGAGAGAATGTAGATATACTTAATGCAGGATAGCTACAGAAATATTTAGTTTACTTGCCATAACAGACACTATGTAACAAATATGAGGGAGCAAAAGATGTTCTTATTATATTTCACGGACTTCTATCAAAAATAAATTAAGAAATACAATATGATCAGTGGTGGAATAATAGTAGTAACTTGAATAAAATGTAGTCTTTGAAGATTTTGATTTTGCGTATATGTATTATATCCCATTTCATTCCAAATTTAATGGGAAGTTCTGTGCTTTGGTGCAAAAACAACTGTTTACTACCATTACCATATTATGTTAAAATAGAAAAATTAATACGTACCAATGAAGAATTCAAACCAATAATTGTTTTCGATAGCATCCTTGAATAGCTTAACCTTCGTTTCATCAAGCTCAAGCTCACAAATGCCACCCTTGTCCACATTTTCTATAAAACAGAATAGTCCATGTCACCTCAAATCAAACAAGAAAAAACTAGGATTCAAATTAAAAGAGACCCACATACTTTGAAACTTTATGTCAATCTGACTATCGATAAGCTCATTTCCACCCAAAACTTCACCAAGGCCACCCCATTTGTGAGTAGAGCCAGATGCATGGCAGAATGGTAGGCTGTAATAGTTGTATGTTTCCTGTGGGTTATTATATGGCCCAACTTTATTTACCCAAAGGGTAACTGGATCATCTGGTTGATACTGATGAGAAAAAACAGGGGTCAGAGAAAAGCAATTGCATATGACAAATGGTTAGATAAGAAAGAACAAGCATGAGTGTACTGATACATTCACTTTACTGGTGTATCCATTAATACTTTGCAAAAGTTTACAGGATATGTCTTTTGTATATTCTAAGAGATTTTTCTCCAAATATTCAGAAGTGAACAAAATGTGGAGCAAAGAATTAGGCAAACATGTATCGCACAAAAACATAAGCTAAAAGAACAATATTGGATTAACATCTTACAAACACCTGTGCATGAATAGACAGACTATAGGGAGAAAAGAAACCATAAAATTTAAATGCATCAGACCGCAACAGTCCAATTCACAGCAACAAGTAATAGAGTAGAATGAAGCGTGAAAAGAACCATAAAGTCTCCTGAAAAACAAATTATATACCTTCTTCAGAAAGAGAATATGAATTGCAATAATACGAGCAAAAGAGAGTGCATGTGAGACTGAGTCGGCCTCGTTAGTGTTACGGAAGCTGCTTGTCGGTAGAGAAGTTTTTAAAGAAATATACAGGTACTTGCAGCTTAATTAATCCAATGTTTATTAGAATTTACTAATCCATTTGCCTGACAGATGAAGAGTTTAAGAATTGCATATGTCATGAACTCCAAACTTAACTATAACACAGTAGAACAGGACATATGTTCAGTGTTTCTAAAATAACCATAAAACAAGACATATGTCCAATTAGCAGCATGGTCATTAAAATATCATCATGTAGTGGAGAATGGGACAGTTGTGTGGTAATTATCATGAGAAAATACACCTTGATAAGATGTTTATCCAGTATAGGCAAGACTTTAGCACTAAATAACTTTATGAGAAATACCATTTTCCAACACCATTGGCCACTTAAAGGATCATTCCTAGAGCAGTCCTTCACTTGCTAAGTTATTTTGAGAATCATTTGCAGCTTTTGTATGTCTGCACTGCAGAATGAACTTTTCTTTTGCCAACACTGTGTTTCTTTGCACCTAAGGGAATGGCGTACGGTAAATGATGTGGGTGAAAACCATGGGAGACCACGGTTCAAATCCCAACAGAGGAAACAAAGTTAGGTGATTATTCTCATTTGCCTAACCTTTGGTGGGCGGAGTTATCCGATACCTACATTGGTGGGAGGTAGCAGATATTTAGTGGAATAATTGAGGCACGCGCACACTGATAAGGACACCACCATTCAGTGTTATCAAAGGCGAAAAGCGCAAAAAAAAAAGCTCTAAGGCCTGGTAGGGCTCTAAGCGCAAAGCGCAAATAGAGCGTGGGGTTTAACGAAGAAAGGCACAAACAGAAAAAAAAAAAAAAAAGTAAATATGTACGTGTAGTCCAAGACTAATACCTATAAGCATAAATACCAAATATATGAACAAAGAAATTGAAGAAAATTTATGATAAAGTGAAATATCTTGTTTAGTATCGGCTCTTTAGGATTACGCTTATTGGCAAGAAAAATTATGCCTTAGAGCCTTGATGACAATACTGAAACGCTCGCTAAGTGAGGCGAAGCACTCAACATGTTTTGAGCCTCGCTTCAGGGCTTAAGCGCGCCTTTGAGAACATTGCCATCGTTATATGAAAAAGGTTCCTATTACTTTTTAAATTTATCGAAAAGTTTACTACAGATATGTTTAGGTCGTACATTGAGTTTTTTTTTACAAGGTAATGAGAGAAGATCTTTTTGATAGGGGGATAATAAGAAAATACCAGAGCAAACACGAGAAATATAGAAGGCTCTCAGATTTTAAGCAGCAGAAAATAATTACTCCATATCATTTTGAGAAGGAATTTTTTTTTGTTTTTGAGAAGGAAAATATTTACTCCATATTACAATGCAAGTAATTCATAACAAACATTGGCAAGCAATTAAATTACCAGATAAGGCAAGTTACATGGTAAGATCAAAATGGAGTTGTGTATGTGTCACTTATCCAGATTAACAAGTAAAGCCATAAAGGAACAAGCTGAAAATTCGTCCACAAACCCTTCCGGATGCATTAGATTTTTTTTTTCTTTTATAATGCCTTACGGACGCATTAGATTTAGTAGAATAACCTAACATCATATCACATAGATTCTCCAATATCAATAGTTTTCCACCAATTTTTACTGATCAAAAAAATAGATAACCACCAGTTTAGTAACCAACAACCATTGTCAGATGTCCCTGGACTACCTATAACAGCGTGGCGGAGGCACCTTCAACCAACAGGTGTCATCCGACATAGCTTCGGGGAAAAATAATCATATATGTAAATAATAATTTTCTAAGAACTAGTGTGTATATATAGTAGGCTGCCACTCCCACTATTTTCAATTTATGTGACATTTGTTCCTTTTAGCTGGTCCCAAAAAGAAAGACACATTACTTTATTTAGTAACAGTTTAATTTTAGACTTTATATTTTTCCCTTAATATGATGATTTATAGCCAAAGAAATTTTTAAGGCTTGTTTTAAGACCACACGTTTCAAAAGTCTTTTATTAATTCTTAAACACCGTGTCCAACCAAACACCATCACATAAATTGGGACGGAGGGAGTACAAAGTAAACATCAACTCGGGTTAAGAAGTAAACCATTAGAACCCCACAGCCTCACATCCAAACATGTATACAAACCGAATTATGACAATAGATTGACATGCCTACACACAATCCGGTGTAAACTACTGCATGCACATGCAATCATTCTGAAGACTTATTAGCAACTTTACTTCACTACAACATCTTGCTCGGTATTGGTCAATTGCACGTGAAATCATCAGCAAATTGAAATTTTGAGATGAAACAAAGGAATTTATTTTAAGATCTACAGGTCACACATTACTTCCTCTCAGGAAAAAAAAAGATATCTAATTTCATCCGGTGTTGGCATTAACACTTTGATACGAGTCATCAGTATAAACTTTATAGTAAACATCTAATGCTAGAGAACTCCTAATTGGTCCTAAAAGCCAATTTTGAGCACTTGAATTAAATGGGGTGGATTTGACTGATCCATGATTTGAACTTTATGGGTTTAAGATTCTAGGACAGCAACCTTAAGTACACTAATCACTGGGTTCAAAATTTACTTTTTATACACATTGATGAATTTCTTAACTCATATAGGGTCTAGGCCAAAGCTACTGGTTTTGCCGGAACCCATAGATTACATTGTGGATCCGCCCCTGGAATTGAATGAACATAGAGGATTTATATATAGGATGGATGCCTAGTTGCATCCATTGTTGTATTTTATTCATTCAATCTTAATCAAATCTATAATGGCTCATAAATTACAAAAATGACGCACGAGTAACATCCCAGCAATCAAAATCCCCAAATATCTGACTAACACGGGAACAATTCCATGAAAGTGACGGAATTTCTACAAGTGTGAATCATGAAAAATAAATAATGAGCTAGAATTAGGGTTTCCCCGTTGCAATGTAGAATATGTCAGATTTATACCTTGTGATCGGACTCGGAAGCAAACGCCGGAAAAACGATGAGGAAGGCGGCGAGGAGTAGAACGAGAGATAGGGATCGGGCGGTCGGCCGCATCTGTATCGCCGGCAATATATGGATCAAACGGTTCAGGTTAGCCTTTTGGTCCGGTTTTTCGATAGAGAACAAAAGAGAGTGAGTAGCTGGTTTTGCAAGTTCAGAAAACAGAAAAGTAACTTTTTTTATTACACCAAGAAAGAAATGAAGTCAACCGTAATTAATTCTTTGTCGTTAGGAAAAAGTAATGATAATGTCGCATGCTTGTGCTGGAAATGCGTAAACAATACTAACAGTTGTAGTTATTAAAAATAATTATCTTAAATTATTTATTATTATAAAAATTTAAAATAAAATTAATTATTTTTGTCTTTTTTACCCTTAGTAATAATTATTCTTGAAGATGGAAATAACACATAAATAGAATAAATATTTAATTAAAAGAAATTATATTTTAAGGCATAAATAAGAGTAGAATAGTCAAATTTCTTTCCTAATTAATATTTCTTAAGGGGTGCGTAAAAGAGAAACACAATACATAATATGAGACGTACTTCACTATTTTCCTTTTTTTCTTTTACAAATTTACTAAATCTAAAAAAAGTAATAACCAACCAATCCATATTTATATGATTGAAGGAAAAAGGAGAATAAATTTGACGAAAGTAAATTTAATGTCTTTTCTTTCAACAGACATAATAACTTTTTGAGTGTGTAAGGTTTCATTAGACTTTAGTGACTAGAAAATCAATACTTATGCAATCTAAACTTTTGCCTCTTAACTCCTTCAAGAATTTTAAGTTAAAGTTAATTGAGCAGAAGTGTTAATTGTGACTTCTAGTTTTGACAAAAACACCGAAGATTTTTTACTTAATAATTAATAAAAATTAAATCATTGAGGAAACAGTAAAAGAAAATTTAGCTAATTTCGTTCTAAAGGTGAAAAGAATAATTGAGACACTGGAGTAACTCAAAGTCTCACATTCCTTCGAGTTCATTCGGTTACAAACTTACAATCGCCGTAAAATGAGTATTTGATACTTGTAAAATGTAATACTTGGACGCTGATGCATACACCAACGTCCAAAAAAAGGATAAGAGAATTTCCGTACGAAATGACATAGAAGAGAAAGAAACATTAGTACATTTTGTAATATGTTTGACCAAAAAATGATAATTTTTTGTTAAACTAATTAATCAATTATTAAAAAGGGTTAATCTTAGTTAAAGCTAATATTTTCAGATCTTGAGTTAACAGTACGAAAGTTAGGAGTAATGAAGAAACGGAATTAATGTGATAAAAATAAATGTGCCCAATGTGATAATGTGCATAAAGTGTCGAGTATTAAGTGACAATAAATGTCAATAAATGTAAATAAGGAGAAACATTAACCCAATTTTGAATGGGGTGAATGATTCTTCCTACTTACAATGATGAATGATAGGAATGTGAGAGAATGTTGAGCACTTTCTCAAATCTGGTGGAAATGACTATGGATAATCTAAAAGGAACGAATCTCTCTAGAAATTGGTTCTTTGTATTAATCTAGAGAGTTTACTTTTCAAAAGTGTTCTTATCATATAGAATATTACATGCCCTTTGCCTTATCTCTCATTCTATTTATATGGGATATTCCCAAAGAACCCTAAAAGTACAAACAGAGAGAATATTTAAGAGAATATTCCCTCTGAAGACCACAATACAAAGGTAGTCGTTACTACTATCTGCTCTACTCGACCTCGGTCGTGGTTGACTGATTGGCGACTCGTTCCGTTGATCACTGGTCGACTTCGGCCAAATTGCCCATGATAAATTACAAATTACTCACGATAATCACTTGTTTGTGCTGAATTTCCTCGATCGGATTTTGACCCATACAGTTAGTCCCTCCGCTTATCGAGGTTGTTCTTTGGTCGACCTCGGTGAGCGGACTTCATTAGTCGTAGTCGAGAAATTTAGGTGGGCAGGTCGAGTAGTAAAGATCATGGTCAAGATGGTAACGTGGCGCTTTGCGGGCCACAGCTTATCATAACGTTGGTTCGGACTAACATCACAGCATCATGCGTCATTATTACGCATCTTCCCGATGCGGTGCATCGCTTTCCGTGACCCTGTTGTTTCGATCTTTGTGTATCGGCGGTTGATTTTCTCGATTGGGGTGTCTGTGTTCTCTATAAATAGGGATTGGGAACCCCTTGTATGATCCTTTATGTTTTCTAGCATTTGAACCTGCGTAATTTCCTCCCTTCTTCTTCGTCCTGTATTCTCGCTCCCGTTGTTTCCATTTTCGCACCTTTGTTCTCCTTTCCGATTTGAGTAATTTCTGCTACTTCTACCTCTTTCTGTTCATATCTTCTACGTTTACAACTATCAAAAATGGTTAATACACCTCTTGTCTCTGATGGGGTTCCTGAACCAACTCCACTAGCAGTGAGAATGCCCCCTCACGATGATGATGTTGTTGTCGCTGTATAGGATGAGAGCTTTCCCACTGTGGAGGAAATAATTCCTCGAAATTCAAGCTCCAGGTCGAACTTCTCGAAGTCACCTGCGGATGAGCCTGAGCCTGTGAAGTCCGAGATGGATGCAGCCCATCTTACCGAGCTTAGCCAAATACAACATCCCTGCTCACATCGATATGGTCCCAGCTGGGAACGACGTAATCCACATTCATCGTTCTGGGTATTGCGCATTTTACGCGTACCCGTTCCAAGTGGGCTATTCTCTTCCTCTTCCCTCGTTGGCGGAGGAATTTTGCCGCTACTATGGCATCTGTCCGGCCCAACTCTCCCCATATATTTATAAGCTCTTCCTTATGTTGATAAAGTACGCGGAGCTGGCCAACCTTAGGATTTCCATCTGCCATCTGCTACACCTTTTCGCGCCAAGCTTCCACTGGGGTACGATGATACACCTCCACTATCGCGGGACCAAGGGATTGGTGGTGAAGATGGACGATAAGGAAAATCATCGGTTTTGGTTTAATTTTGTCTACATTAAGACCGAGCACGTGGTGGCGAACCCCAGTGGATTCCCTGAAGCCTGGAACTTTGGCCGTAAGTGTTTTTGCTAACTGATTGCTTGTCTTCTCTCTTTGGTGACCTAATCGTTCTTCTTCTTTTGTGCAACCGAGAAGGAGCCTCCTTCGTTGGTCACCGACATTCGCGATTGGGTGAGTCAGATTTTACCACACACGGTGGGGATCCGCGAATGGTAATCGTTCAACAAGAAGTTTGGACGTAAACCTTCTTCGACCGGTAAGTTATTCATTTCGATCTTCTGTTGCTTCGACTTTCATGGCATCTTTTTTTTCACTCCCTCCCTTCATGTAGTAAGGTAGGTTTTAACTTCTGTTTTTGCTGTCAGGTCGGAGGGCTGCGAGAAGAGTGAAGGCTCCTACCCCCGCTTTTCGTTAGTCGGGTGCATCGACCGGGTCTCTACTCGCTGCGACTGCAAGAAAATCCGTATCGGTTGCTGCTTCTTCTCAGACCTCGGCAGGCCCTTCGGTGGAGACTCCGACTTCTCCTATATTGCACTTAGTGGAAGAGTCGTCGCCGTGCGATGAGGAAGCAGTTCCGTTAAAAAGGCGGAGAATAAAAGTTGGCGGCGAGACAGTAGGAAGTGAAGGGTTAACAAGGGGTGATCCCGAGCTAGCCACGGCCGCATCCGAGGGCGGCGTGGCTTCGAACACTGAGACTTCGCCCCCTTTAGATGTAGAAATTGCTCCCTTACTCGAGGTTGCCGTGGAAAGAGGATGGCGATCTGAGGCAGCGGAGGTCGTTCAGAGGAGTGATCTGTCGCCATCGGGGCAGGCCGACGTTCTTTCCTCTACCGAGGAGAGGGGGAAAGGTGTGGCAATAGATGGTTATGAGTCCAGTACCGACATCGATCCTAAAGAGGTACGGATGTTCGATGAGGGGTTTACTCGGGTAGAAGTGAGGACGGAGGGATCTACTCGCACCATAGTCATTTCCTTAGACTACGACTTGTTGGTGAATACAGAAAGCGTAGTCCCTTCTTTGGTTCCTCTCCGCTCTAGCGTTGAGAGCAGGACTTTACATACGTTTAATGATGCTGATCTGTTGTTAGGCATATCCGGAATGGCTTTGAGGGTAAGTTTGTTTTTTTGTTTTTTTTTTGTTTTTGTTGTTCTTGTACCTTGCGTCCTTTCTCCTTTTTGTTTTGACTAACTCTTTTTGGCTCTTCCTTTTTTACTAGACTCTCATTTTGGAGATCGAGAGCGCCCGCTGAGAGAAGAAGCGGAAGATTGTTTTTAAGAAAATGGTTTTGAAGTTTTGTGAGTACCGTGCCAAGTATCGTGAGATACGTGCCTGATTCAGCGCGGACGATAATTTTCAGTCTCTTAGAGATGAGTTGAGGCAGAAGGACGATGAACTCGTGAGGGTCATCAGCAAATGTAGCGTGCTTGAGGGAGCGTTTAGAGCCAAGGAGGACGAGCTTGAGGTAAGTAGGGGGGTTGCGGCTGAGTGTGCTGATCTTCAGGCTCAAGTGGCATCTCTACGGGCTGAGCTTGAGCAGAGCTCGACCAGGGCTGATGATTTGAGTGATGAGTTGATTGGGAAGACGGTAGAGTTGGGGAAAACCGAGGAGGCCAGGATGGCCGCTTTGGCAAGGGTGGTGGCATTGGAAGAGGTCATCTGCATCCTCTTATCTGAACGGGCGAGTGAAGTGGAGGCGGTCGTGCTCAAGGAGGCAAGGCTTGAGGAGTGGGTTGGCGAGCTTGAGGGAGAGGTTTCGAATTTAAATGATCAGGTCGCCGCTCTTGAGGCCGAAAAGGCGCAGCTATTGGCTCGACCATCTTCCTCTCACACTTTCGCTTATCCTGACGTTGCGCAGGATTCGTATGAGAAGTGGATCCATGCTGAGGCCCAGCTATACATATTTAGGGACTTAATAGCGGCAAGGATTGACACTGAGGTTGTGTTTGAAGGTGCTCGTGCCAAGGCGTGCGCAGCTCGAGTCGCATGTGGTTATGATCCTGCCATGCCACGGGCGAGCGATAATAAAGACGAGTTGGGCGGAATCGAGCAAGGTGCTTGGTATGATGATGCGTACTCGATCGGAGAGGATGATGGCGGGGATGATGCCGCTGAGTGATGCTTTTTGTAATTTTTGTAATTTGTTTGTACTTTTGCGGGCGTCTGTTTGGCCCTTGTAA